GCTTAGTGTGGCCGCGCACAATCGAATTTATACAACCTGTTTCCCAAATTCGAATTATCTAAATTCGGATTAATCCTGTAGTGTAGACATACCCTCACATTGCAGTGTTCCAAAGAGGATGGAGCTCGGCTGTTCTCAGTGGTGGCAGATGACAGAACAAGGAGCAATGGTCTCAAGTTGCAGTGGGGGAGGTCCAGGTTGGATATTAGGAAACACTATTTCACTAGGAGGGTGGTGAAGCACTGGAATGCGTTACCTAGGGAGGTGGTGGAGTCTCCTTCCTTGGAGGTTTTTAAGGCCCGGCTTGACAAAGCCCTGGCTGGGATGATTTAGTTGGGAATTGGTCCTGCTTTGAGCAGGGGGTTGGACTAGATGACCTCTTGAGGTCCCTTCCAACCCTGATATTCTATGATTCTAACCCTCAAGTTCAGTTTGGGTATTGGGAAGTGAAGTGTTTAAGTGTGGTGGTAGATAGCACCTTTCTGAAATTTCTGATAACTGCAAGTAGGGAACAAATTGGACATGTGCCCTGTGGGTGGATGAATTAGCCAATGCAGAAGAAGAAACCTGTATGATTGGCCAACTGCTACCTGTTTTTGTATGAAGCTGAAACACTGGAATTCCCGCATGGCATGCAGTTTATGCAAAACAGGTTAGACCATCCCTGGAGAACAAGACTCCCTCTGGCTACTAAATCCCACTCTGCAATACAGTAGTTTCTGTTAAGCAGTTTTCTCTTTGTTGTGAGATGACTCATGTGGAGGAGGAGGTAGCTATCAGGTGCTTAGCTTTCTTTCACTGCAGAAGTGACACTAATCATGGGTGGTGGTAGTGGCTGTAAGGGAATGCAAAATAGCCAATACCAGTCCCCCCGAAAAAAAATCCATGTACTAAAAAATTTGGAAAGGCAGACTTGTCTTGTTAGGCATGATATTGGGCAGGAGTGCTGACTGGCAGAGTAGCTGACAATGGGGTGTTACAAAGAGTCTCCGTCTTCTAGATAGATGAGCACTCTAACTGCACTTCGTAAGCACTGTTGGCGTGAACTGGAAGGGTCCGAGTTCACGTAGTTGTAGTGCAACCTTAAGGCGATCGAGGTACCTTTTATATTGCGCCAGCAAGGTTAGTGCACAGCACATTAGCATGCTTCCTGATTCACACCCTCATAGACCACAGAGCTGTGTTGACAAGTCTGTTGGGTAGGAGCAAGGACGCAACGGGGGCCCAGCCCTGCTCATCTTGGCCATAGTAGGGGAGGGGAAGAGGTATAATCGAAAGTGGCACCACCAATAACTCATTGCCCCTCAGGTTGAAAACCCTGAATCCACCACCAAATTACCTATTTTAATGTAGAGAAAATAAGTCTTCAAAATGTTGTTTTCCTATTCTTCTTGTGACTGGCTTAGATTCTGCCCCACAGCATAATTACAAAGCTTTATATACACTATATAGAGTTAGTTGTGTTGCTGGCCTACGTGCCTATTGGATAAATGCAATCCATAGAAGAATTCATCTCACTTTGGAAGGTCAGTGGGTCCCCTGTCAGACTTCAGAATGTTTGTCTCGAGACAGAGTTCAAAGGAAAGGATTCTTAAATTACCGTCTTTGAACTTAGGGTATTGCCTTTAGGTGGCCTTATGCTCCCATGCTACATAATTCCCAAAATAGCTTCCTCATATTGGAAGTAAACTACGCCCATTATCCTGTACACAGGTAGAGTGAGAAATTCCATCCTGGGACTTACTCCTCAGGTCAGCAATAGGTAAGACGGGACTGAAAGCCTGGTTGCGACACTCTGTATCTCGGGGAAACACCCTGCACCCCCATGTTCATCCTTATAATATGATTGTGTGGTATCCAGTGCAAAGTTTGTCATGTCGAGTGTCTTTGGAAGGCTCATGATGCATTGAGCATTGTTGTTATAGTAATGTTATAAGTTGTAATTTCATGTATATAGTTCTGAGGCTGAAAATGTGTCCTCATGGCTTAAAACAGGGGTTCTCAAACTGGGGGTTGTGAGGTTATTACCTGGGGGGGTCGCGAGCTGTCAGCCTCCACCCCCAAACCCCGCTTTGCCTCCAGCATTTATAATGGTGTTAAATATATAAAAAAGTGTTTTTAATTTATTAGGGTGGGTCGCACTCAGAGGCTTGCTGTGTGAAAGGGGTCACCAGTACAAAAGTTTGAGAACCACTGGCTTAAAACAAGCCCAGGCAAAACTCTCCAGGAACAGAGGGGCAGTTCACACCTCATCAGGGCATGTATGGGACAAGCCCAGCCCAGCCTCACAGGAACAAAGGACACTGGCCTAGGCAGCAACAAAGGATCTGTTGGACTCTGGAGTGAGTCACCCCCCTTCCCTTGGTCAGTTTGGGACTAGGATAAGGTAATGCTCACCTGACCCTGAAGGGGTGGGGGTGGGGGCAAAGCCAAGACAGGGAAGAAAGAACATAATAAAAGGGAGAGACATTTTCCATGCTCTTCCCCTCTCTTCCACCTCCATCTACAGACACCACCAGCAAGCGACTGAAGTGCTGATCGAAAGGGAGAGCCTGGCTGAAGGGCAGCCAGCCAGCCTGTGGTGAGAAGCATCTAAGTTGTAGGGTCACTGAAAGTGTTAAGATCAGCTTAGAATGTGTTTTGCTTTTATTTCATTTGACCAAATCTGACTTGTGCTTTGACTTATAATCACTTAAAATCTATATTTTTTAGTTAATAAATTTGTTTATTCTACGTGAAGCAGTGCGTTTGGTGTGAAGCATGCCAGAGACTCCCCTTGGGATAACCAGCCTGGTACATATCAATTTTTTTGTTAAATTGATGAACTCATATAAGCATGCAGCGTCTAGCGTGCATAACTGGACACTGCAAGATGGAGGTTCCCAGGGTTGTGTCTGGGACCGGAGATATTGGCTAGTGTCATTCGGGTGCACAATCCAAGCAGCAGCTGGCCAAAAGTGCTCACTCACGTAACTGGGAGCAGCTTACGTGCTAGAGGCTGTGCGTGAACAGCCTGGGAGTGGGGGTTCTCACAGCAGAGCAGGGTAAGACTGGCTCCCAGAGTCGAGGATTGGAGCGACCTAGCAGATCACCGGTCCAGATAACACCAGGGGAATGTCACACTGCTCTAGCCATTATGTCAGCCTGAGGCCTGGTCACCACTTAAATAAGAGGCTGACCTAGCTATGTTGGTCATGGGTGTGGAAAAATCCACACTCCTGACCGACGTAGCTATGTCAGCCTCATATTCAACTTGAGACCAGGCCTCAGGCTATGTACCAAGCTTGCCCATCTGGAAAAAGGGTGGAGCTGAGACTTGAGAATGTTTGTTTGTTTGTTTTGTTTTGTTTTTTGTTTGAGAACTTGAGAAAATGTGCACTACGAGTGGAAAGTATTCTCCACTTAGTCACGCCAAGTTCTTTAACACATTAGGACCAAAGTGAATATTGCAAACCAAGAGCTGTAAATCGAGTAAAAGTCAAAGTGCAAGGAGCAGCAGAAATAACTGACTGCAACAATTGTTTTAAAAGCTGCAATGCACTAGGGAGGAAAGCTGATTTAAAAAAAAAAAAAAAGTCAAGAAGACCTGAAGAGCTCTTGTAGCTCCAAAGCTTGTCTTTCACCAACAAAAGTTGGTCCAATAGAAGATATTCCCTCATCCACTTTACCTCTCTTTATCAATCTTGATTTTTTTTTTTAAACAGTAGTCCAAAACAGGACAATACAAGAAAGGTTCTTAAAGTCTCTCCTTGAAACACAGCAAAATCCTTCCTCATGAGGGAGAAATGTAAACTACTTAAAATTAACTCAGAGTGAGGGAGTATGCCTACAAATACCAACATTTGGCAGATCTATTAAAGAAAAACATTTTCTGGAATTGGATATATTGGAATCGATTTTTGGATAATCAAGTTCCTAAAAACTGAATCTATATCACTTTGTTTGAGCATGTGCTTAGTAGCCAGATGTTTCAAGGGCCAAGGCTGGGTTTGCAGGGAATTTAAGACTGCAGATGTTTGGAGGTCTCTACCACTGGCTGGGAGAGAAACCCTCATCCAGTTGAGCATCTGTTGCCAACACATGTTCAACTGAACTGATGTTAGCAATGTTGGGAACCCTAGGGTAGGCAATCCAGCAGCTGCTGACAGTTTGCAGCATCATGTTGACAAAACTTGCTGTGAGCAGGCTTAGATAATCCTGTGCTGAAGACTGTACCAGCAGCCAGTGGGGTGTGTACACTGAGGTCCCAGATGTTGCTAACTCCGGTTCAGAAGTAGAATTAGCAACGTTGGAATGTTTTCAAGTTTCCTTAAACAAGGCAATAAAAGCCTAAAAAATTCCACCATCTATTGTCTTATATCTAGTTTATACAAGAGATTAAAGTCTACAAGCTTACAAGATAATGCCATTCCTCAAGTCTAGATAAGCATGGAAAATTAATTTATTATTAAATAAATACATGCACCCATTAAGAGCCACAGGTGAGGCCTGTGGCAGTTTTCCTGGAAATCTGCCTCTCTGTGAAATTAATGTTGCATGCCTCCATTTTTCAATTGCACAATAGACTTGAAAATGTGCCACACATGCACCTAAAGGCTGTGGAAGGAAAGGTGCCCCCTGTTACTGATGCAACTGTCTTCTCCCAGTTTGAACTACAGGGGGAAAAAAACAAACTTGTACATTGTATGAAAGGTACTGTCCAGGTATCTTTTCCTTTAGCTGATGTCCATTATTTAAAAAAACAAACAAACACTTGAAACCTCTCTTCCCCTCCCCTTCCTCCCCCCTCCCCCCCGGTGGTACTTTTCTAACACAGATCTTTTCTAGCACAGATCAAATGCAATGTGCATGCTTCGTTACACTGGCCTTTGGGATTTAATCCTTAAGATGTGTGTGCAGCCCCTATATACTACAGGGTCCAGTATGCAATGCTCCATCTTGATCAGAATAATTTGTTACTGTGGCATTTAGTCTTCACAGGCTTCCCTGGTATATTAAGGATGAGGATGGCTGCAGTGTGTGCTCCATCTCATGCAAACTTGATGCAGCTCTTGGGTCCCTTTCCAGCTCTCGAGCTCTTACTGGGGCAAAGATTGGGCAGTGAAGCAGAACGGAGTAAGAGGCTTCTTAGAACAAGGACCCTTGCCAGTAAGTGTTGTCTCAGCAGCGTAGAGATAAAGGTGGGACTTCAGGACACTTGTAAAATGCCTAAAGCTGTACCAACTGGGTATATTTTCACCCTTCTGGTTTTACAATGGCAGTACGCCATAATGCCATTCTTTGACATACTTTTTTTTAACTGTACATATCTCAAGCCATATTGGTGCTCAATTGTGGTGGTATGGGGAGAGTCCCCCAGGGGAAAAGAATTGAATGTGTGGTAATCATAGTTTGATATACAACTTATCAGAGGTGGACTGGTTGGGTTTTTCAACTTGCACTTAGTCTTAAGCAAAAGAGGAACAAAGTTCTTAGTTTATATAAAACATGGAAAATCCAAGTGTGGTAACTGTTTCCTTTCCTGTTCTGCCTTAGCAATGACTCCTCAATTACATATGGGAGGGTGTAAAGACCCAACAACTCCACTGACTCACCGTTTTTATGATTCAAAACTGCCTTATATAGAATTGTTTTGCACGCCCTAAGTCCACCTTATGGATTTTCTCCGTTCCTCTTTCTACTCACTCATTGTTTATCATCAGTCTCTTCTCTCTTCCTTTATGGTCCAACAATAGCTATTGTCAATGCAAGAGAGATGTCTCCCTCATTTAGATTGGTGCCATCCCCTAATTTCTCTTGGAAATAAAAAATCTTCAGTTGTGAAACTTTATGAATATGTATTGGTAGGAATGGTCGTGAAGGCAGTCAAAATGAATCGTTTGTTGCTAACTAGCAAACCTTATAGAGATTATGTTGGCTATCTGGATGACATGATGACCCTGCAATACCAGGGCAGGATAGAGATTGTGGTGGGGTTTTAAGCACTCAAAAATTAGGCTATGTCTACACTACACAGCTTTTAGCAACATGGCTGTGTCACTACAGCCAGGCCGCTAAAAGTGGCGCAGTGTAGCTGCTGTTTGTCGGCTCTCCTGCCGACAAAAAAACTTCCGTCCCCAACAAACAGCGTTTGCATTGTTGGGAGGAGAGCGCTCCTGCTGACAAAGCGCTGTTCACACTGGTGCTTGTCACCGTCAAAACTTGTCTTTCAGAGGTGTTTGGAGAAAGGGGGGGGGTGGGAACCTGAAAGACACAAGTTTTGTCCTTCAGTTGCCAGTGTAGACATAGCCTTAGGCTAGGTCTACACTACAGCGGGGTTCCGACCTAAGATACGCAACTTCAGCTACGTGAATACCGTAGCTGAAGTTGCGTATTTTAGGTCGGCTTACCTGGTGGTGAGGACGGGGGAAAGCCGACCGCTGCTGCCGACTCCGCTGCCGCCTCTTGTCGAGGTGGATTTCCGGAGTCGACGGCAGAGCGATCAGGGATCGATTTTACCGCATCCTCACGAGACGCGGTAAGTCGATCCCCGATAAACCGATTGCTACCCGCCGGATCGGCGGGTAGTGAAGACGTAGCCTTAGTCATCTGTCATTTTTTTCCTATTCGGCTGCCTTCCCTAGGAAAAAGGGTGTTAAGTCGAGTTAGCTAACTCACTTGATATCTAATGAAGACAAGGCAGGCTGGAGTCTTCACAAGAATTAGCAGGTTGTGTTAGACTTGATTTCCCTCAGTTTTCACACTAATTAGAAGGTTGAATTAAAACTCCAACCTGCAAATTGGCAGTTTGAATTAAAACTGGAGGAAATCGAGTCTTTAACACTACCTGCTAAATCTTGTGAAAATACAAACCTGCCTTGTCTTCACTGGGGTGGGAGAGGAAGGTGTGTTCTTGATTTGAGCTGTTAAGAACTCTTCTCTTCCTCAGGAAGACAAAGCCTCAGTGGGTGGTGGCATTACTGGCCCCTGCAGAATTTCACACTAATTACCACACTGCTACTTAAACCTACAGCTGTCAGCAGGACTTACTCTGGGACAGATGCCAACCTTGTGATATCACTTCAACACCTCAGTTCCATACCTTTACTTGTCCTTTCATCTTGCTTTATTTAATTACCTTATTAACATCCTATTTACTTAAGTCTTTTGACTTTCATTTTAACCTTAATCTTATTTCACTTAATTTTCACACTTATGCTGTGTGAAAGTTCTCTCTCTCTCTCACTTTATTTGTGTTCTCCTAGCACCTAGGAGCCCTAGTCATAGACCAGGACCCATTGTGCTAGGCACTGAACGCAGAACAAAGACAGTCCCTGCCTCAAAAGTTTACACTCTGCAGCTATGTCTACACTACAGCCTATGTTGGCAAAACGTATGTGTAAATATTCCAAGTGACATCAATTACACCAACATAAGCATTCAGGTGCACAGCACTGTCAGTGGAAGAGCTTCTCCCACCGTCCTAGTTTATACTGCTTGCGGAGGAGGTTTTTTTATGCCAATGGAGAGCTGCAGCGCTGTATGTATAGACATAGTCTGTGTATAAGAAGAGACAAATGGGGGAGTACAAGGAAACAATATTGGTCAGCATGATAGGCAGTGCTTTCAACACAGCAATGGTCTAATTGCTGGTTTTTTGTAGCCATTATGGCAAAGGAGTTGAAGAGGGATTTGAAGGAAGGTAATGGAGTAGGATTGCAGATGTTTACAGGGCGCTCTTAAGTGTGAGGAGTGATGAGGTATGCAGGGGACACAAAGATGCTTGTTTGAAAGTTTAACAAGTGGGTGATGGAGGCTGGCTTCTTGGGCCAAGTGGAGATGGGAGTTGAGAGCTTGATAGCAAATGTGAGATGATAGGTAGGGTGGGATTAGGCTGTGAAGGGCATTGAAAGTGAAGGTAAGTAGCTTGTGTTTGATGTGATAGAGAAGGGAGAGCCAGTGGAGGGATGTAAAGAGCAGGGCTAGATAGCAGATAGCAGTGACACTTAGGCTTTCCCACTCCTGTCACTTCAACCTCCTCTTAAACTGAGTTTCACCCAGTGGATAACAACTTCATGAAAAATATATTGGACCGGTTTCTAAGCAAATTACGAGCTTGTTCTGCCACAAGACCATTTGGTCTAATTGGGTGAAAACTAATAAGTTTTAGGGGTCAAAATGAGTAACTTAGCTTGGAAACAATTTTGGTCGTGAACATCTGTTCTGTAAAGCAACTTTACGGTTATGCTGAGTAACTTTCCATTCTTTCCTTACTACAGGATGATTGCTGTAGAGCCTGCCTCTGAGAGGCGGGAAGGCCTAGTAACTGATATAGTCAGTCTGCTAAATTGCTGATAATAGGGTCAGTGATGACCGTCTCCAGAGAGGCTTTGTGCCACTGCTGCTTGTACTTTGCCAATGCACCTCTGGTAAGTAGGTGTTATTAACCTACCCAAAGACTGTTTCTAGCTGAGAAAAAGTGGACCTGCACACAGTGGTGTCTGCCTCTTCATAATTATACCTAAGATTTACACTTCCACAAGAGATGTTCAAGTGCAATTAACTTTACTGGTTATTCTCATCTTGTTTAATGCCACATAGCAGAGTGTGGGGTTCTGTATTTGGTATTTCAACTTCCTCCTTGGGTTTATCTGTTTATGGTTCTGCTTTTATTTTACTCTTACTTGGCTTGATTACACCAAATGGAGAGAAACTTATTCTTCAATAGCTATTTTGGTCAATTTTCCCATGTGGAGAAGAACTTAAACATAGTTTCTTGATCTCCAAACCTACCATTGTAGACACTAGGGTTCTCAGGACAAATTATTTGGTGGCCTCAGAGTGCAGCCATCAACTCTTGCTGGTGGCTGCTCACACTTTTTCCTAAAATACTTAATTAGCTTTAGGAAAAACAAATATGTGCATATTGTACAAATCATAGTAATTTATTTAGTGCTAGCTAATAAGTCTGCTGTGACAAGTGATATCAACGAACATACAAGTATCACTTGTCACAGCAGACTTACTCAGCCCCGGCAAGTTTAGGGACAAATTAAGCCCTGGATGGAGGATCGGGGGAGGCAGTAGGGGCTGGGGGAGGCAGCGGGGGGCTGGAGCCTGAAGCTTTGCGGCCGGAGCCTGCAACCCCGCTACTCCAAGGTTGAAGCCCAAAGCTTGAGCCCCGCCGCCCCTGTGTAAATGGGGAACTCACCGGCTGCCTGCTCCTCTAGTGTTGTGCCCCAGGTGACTCTAGAGGGGGGTAGGGCCCAACATCTGCTGGAAGCCCCAGAAATTTGAACTAAGTACTAATCTGAATGATTAGTACTTAGTCAAAGGCCAGCCTGTTTGGTAGAGCATAGCCTATGAGAATGCCAGATTCCGGTGCCAAGTTCTAGCTTCAGCAGCAGCGCTTCAAGTTCTTTATCTTTGTGCCGAAGTTGCTGCATTCCTTGTTGGATTTTACAACTTCCGTTTATAGATCTGATGCATTCTTGGGACGTGTTTTACTGATACACCTCTACCCTGATATAACACGACCCTATATAACACGAATTCGGCTATAACGCGGTAAAGCAGCGCTCCGGGGGCGCGGGGCTGTGCACTCCAGCAGATCAAAGCAAGTTCGATATAATGCGGTTTCACCTATAACGCAGTAAGAATTTTTTTTTTTTGGGTCCCAAGGACCGTGTTATATCGGGGTAGAGGTGTATAGTTAAACCAATAGAATTGGATAGCTTCCTGTGGGGACACTCTTATTCCAGAATGTTCTGCAGCTGTGTCAGAGGCACTGCATGAGGTGACCCTGAGCTCTTTCAGGCTAATATGACTCCTGACTGTTGCAGGGAGAGATGGGAAGGGAAAGCTGAAGGATGGTGTTCTGTATCACAGTCCTCTGATGTCTGTTTGGGATTTGAGGATATGGTCATAGATTCAATGATGCTGGTATCAGGGTTGGCTGGAGACTATAACCGGGAGCGGTCTTTGTTCCTGAGATGAATGCAGTTATGTTGCTACAGGGTTCAAGTCTGTAAGATCTGATCTTTAGTGAGGTTACAACTTTGGAGACTATGCTGTATTGTATGCGCTAGTGCCGGCTGGCTGTTTATGTAATTCAGGGGGTTACTACCACCTCCTGACCCTAACACATTTCTATTAAAGCATCAGGGTCTGTGGCTAGTGAGAATAAACTAACCATTGTGGGGTGGCTTTGTGATGTAGTCCACTGGGAATCTTAGTCTGGACCTGAAGAGACAATGTCCACTTATGAACTAAATGGGAAACCTGGCTTCTGTTCCAGGAGTGAAAGATTATTAATATTCAGGTGTACAACAGATCCTCCGATAGTAAAACTCCTTCTTAGCAGGGCTTAGGAGCGGAGCCCGGGGCTGGAGCGCAGACCAGTAGGTTTTATGCCCGGAGCTGGAGCGGAGCAATTCAAATATTTGATTGATCCAAATCCTTGCTGCTTAGTAAGTGTGGGCTGAAAGAGGGAGATGAGGCTTTTCTTCACCACACTTCCAAGGGCTATTTATGTACAACAGTGGCTTCCTGGAATAAACAGGTCAGTGCTTACTCCTTCCTGTTGGTAGCAATGAATCCTCTGTCCCCTATACAGGCAAGCAATGTCTCAGTGCTGATTTTACTTCCTACACTAATGTTGAGGGCATCTTGCTTGCTTTTTACCTGAAAGGGAGATTTGTTCTGTGGTTTGGACTTGAAACAATGGATTTTTTTCTGTTATCATAATAGCCACTCCATTAGCAGAAAAATCTACTTACAGCACTGCAGCTATGTATTCACTTCACTGAATTTCCAGAAGACCTCTTGTGTGTTCAGAATAAACATTTGGTAGTACGGACCCAAGGAAAGGAGTATTTCTTGGCCTGTAGTTAGATTATATGTAGGGGAGAAGGGAAGCTCTGATGCAACCTCTTGTTGAAAATCCACCTCCCTTAGAGCGCTGTTTCTGTGCTGTTCTGTTTGTTTGATACAATGGCTGTGATGACAAGGCAGTCAGTAATGCCCAGCCTCCCCTGGCCTCTTTAAACAAGGTTGTTCTGTAGGAGAATAAATAACTAGCACTTCCAGAGCACTCTACAGACCAACTTCTACAGAAGATGAACTTACTCTAATGAGCCATATGCAATCTTCAGGGCTCGCTTTCAGACCCGCTGCAGACTTACCACCCTATGTTGTTTTGGCAATCCATATTTAAACCACAACTCATCACCATGGTAGCTAAGTGTCTGGAGGCTGCCTCAGTTTAAAATATTATAATCTATCTTTAATAGAATGGACATTTATAGGCTTTTTTCCAAGCTTGTTGTGTGAGGTGATCCAACTTCCTTTCAGATTAAATTCGGATCTAATGGCAATAACACACCCCGGAGTCGCTGTTACCAACTTCTCCGTTTGTAAAATACTCTGAAGCTTACTCTTTTGGAAGTGAGGAGAAGGATGGGGTGACAAAGATTCCAGTCTGTATGACTGGCTGTGCACATCTATCACAGGCTCAGTAACGAGAAATCTTGGTAAACAGATCCTTCACCTGAAATGCTGTAGGAGTTAAAAGCTTTGGTAATGTTGTAAGTGAAACAATTCATATGTATTTCATTGATGATTTATTTAGGACTCCTGCTGAAGTGAGCCAGGGAATGGTAACATTACGCCTTTATAGAATTAGGTGGTGCACTTAGTCAAAAGGTTAGTTTCTCCCCCCCCCACTTCATCATGAGTGGAGTTGAATTTGGTGTTTTGTTCCAGTTGCAGCAGAGATTCAGTGTGTCATGGGGAGGAGAGAGGTGTGAACCAAGCAGGAAATGGATTAGCAGCAGGCCCAAAACCTTTCTCAAGGTTAACGTCTCAAAAACTGCCAGTGGAAGTTGGAGCAGTAAATACGAGGGAGTTTCGTACTATAACATTGTCTCCCACCAGCTGCACAACAGGAAGCAGCTGTTGGCATGGAACACCCCATAGCAAAAGCCACAAGAAAGGGGAAGCAGGATCCAGCCAATGTGTCCATGCTATAAACTTGATGTGATATCTGCACAACCCATCACCATAGGGGTGATGCTGCCTTCTTGGATCTCTTGTGTAATTCTTGAGGTGATACCAGTTCATCCCACGTAGCTTGTTCTTTGCTGGTCCTTGAAGACAGCTCTTGACTTTCATTTTTCCTTTTCCTCTTCCCCACCCCCAAACAGTCAGAGTATCAGCACTTGATGTGAAGACACCAGAGGAGCTCTTTGTGGAGAATGGGACAGAAGCAAGACTTCCATGCACATTTTCATCCCGAGATGTGATCAGCAGCGCAGCGTCCATCTCCTGGAGCTTCCAACCAGAGGGAGCAACAACCCCTATATCAGTAAGAGCCCTTTGTCTGGGTTGATCCTGCTGTTTGGGGCAGGGCTGGGAGGGGGAAATCTTGGATATTATTAAGGAAGAACTCTGCTGGGTGGCTGCCGCATAGGGAATTTAGGGAAGCGGGGAGCTATTGGGGGGGGGGGGGGGGCTGCCCATCCACCCTGGTTCCAAGCCGCCACCACTAGCTCCAACAGGCTGCTCTTTCTGTAAGCAGTGGACAAACCAAGTGGCTACCAAACGCCGTTATAAGGGAGCATTGTGCAACTTTAAATAAGCATGTTCCCAAATTAATCAGCAACGTAACAACGAAACAATGTTAACCGAGACGACTTTAAGTGAGGAGTTAGTGTACTGCCTATTGAGGGGGTGGATTTACTACATTGACAGGAAAAACCTCTTCAGTCATTGTAGCAAGTGCCTGTGCTACAGTGGCCTCGCTGTAGTGTGCTTCTGTAGTGCTTGTAGTGTACACATACATTCTAAACCTCAAAAAGGTGCACAGTTAGGTAACAAGGAAAGTCAGAGCAGGAAGGAAGCGCTGGAGCAGTGTGGAGGAGTGCACTGGCTTTGGAAGGGTACAAAGTGAGGGCCATGCCCACCCTCTGTGTCATCTTTTGCCCCTTGGAGCTGTGCACTGGGCCAGCACATCCTGGACAGCAAACTTTATTGATGTAAAGAATTCAGGCACAAAACATGAAAACCCAGTTTGACTAGAGCTTTGAAGAACTGAGTTTCCTAAAGGGGCATTCGATCATCCCTCAACAAATAAGGGATAGAAGTGGTCTGGGATGGGGAACAGGGAATGAGCATGTGCAGTGCCTGTGGCATCACCACTCTCCTGCCTCCATCTGGTACATGCACTCTTCACAGCCTCACCATCTCCCCTCCTCCTCATGGCCTCTGCGAGCTTACCAGGGGTGTGGAATGCAAGGGTGCGGGTGAAGCAGCTTGGGGTTGTGTTTGCATTTGAAGCAGTGTATGTGGGAGTGCCTAGGGGGCTTGGAGCCTAGGGTTTGTGGGGGTGGTCAGCAATGGATGTGATGGAGGGAATGTTGGAAGAGTTGGAGCAGTGTCAGAGCCATGTGGGAGGGAGGGGAGCAATGTGAGGTGTGTTGGAGCAGTGCAGGGAAAGGAGGGGTCAGAGCTGTACAGTGGGGGATGTTGGTCAGCTTCACCTGCCTCCCCAAATACCCTATATACATGCTCTCCTGTCTTCCCCCACAGACTCCATGCTAGTTCCTCCACTGTTCCTGCCTCTTCTTTCCAGGTCTTGCTATGCTGACACCTGCCACTTCATGGTAAGGTGGCCTGTGCTGTAGAAGCAGAACTGGAGATGATGCCGGGGCAGTGAA